GTGTGTGGCCTCACAGGATCATAATCCATCCGTGTTTATTGCAACTGTAATCACATGAACGTACATCACACCGTAATTATGACTTTCAAACGTATAAGTAGAGACTTCCCGGCGGGATCTGAGGGCCTTGCCCGATTCGATTAGTGCTCTACACTGTCATCCGTAATGATTTATCACTGTGTGTGTGTGTGTGCAGACCCGTCTCCTCCGCCGACCCCTGTGGGCCTGAACCTGACGCTGGGTCCCGAGGGTCTGATGAGCGCTCGACTCGACTGGACTCTTCCGGCAGAATCCGATGTTCCCGTTCATCACTTCAGAGTCTCCTGGACCTGCAGCGTCCCGGGACAATCGTCCCGGAGGAAGAGGAGGAAGACCATCGACGGGTAATGAGGACCTCTTCCCTGACCTCTCCATCCGAGATGCGTTTAACATGTCTGAGGATATCAACGGATGGTTTTGCTTGTTTTAAGCAAAAACTAGCTTCTTTTTGCTCTTTTCTTTTAAAAACAACAACAAATTTTAGTAATCTAGTAAATTATTCTTGATTTAAGATTTTCCAAGTAAGTACCAAGAAAAATACTAAGTTTTGCAGTTTAGTGAATCGGTTCATTGAAACGAACAGTCCAAAGGAACCATTTGCCAGAAAAGAATTGAACTGCCCATCACAACCGTAACTGAAATTACAATGAAATTGAAATTATTTGCAGACATAACTACTTTTATTTTTGTTTTGCATTTGGATATATATTTAGACATTATCAAAGCATCATCGTGGTTGGTTTGTAGATTATAACCCCAAAATTGCTCTATTTCCCATTTATTTCCAATGTCGATCCACTTATTGTTTTATAATCAAGCTTATTTGTCTTGTTTTTCCAGTAGAATTAAGCTTATTTGTCTTGTTTTTCCATTAGAATTAAGCTTATTTTTCTTTTTTCCATTTAGAATTTATTTTTCTTGTTTTCAATTAGAGTTAAGATGATTTTTTAGAATTAAGATTATTTTTCTTGTTTTCCATTATAATTAAGATTATTTTACTTTTTTCACATTAGAATTAAAATTATTTTCTTGTTTTCCATTAGAATTAAGATTATTTTTCTTGTTTTCCAGTAGAATTAAGATTATTTTTCTTGTTTTCCATTAGAATTAAGATTATTTTTCTTGTTTCCATTAGAATTAAGATTATCTTTCTTGTTTTCCATTAGAATTAAGATTATTTTCTTTTTTCCATTAGAATTAAGATTATTTTTCTTGTTTCCATTAGAATTAAGATTATTTTTCTTGTTTTGCATTAGAATTAAGATTATTTTCCTTTTTCCCATTAGAATTAAGATTATTTTCTGGTTTTCCATTAGAATTAAGATTATTTTTCTTGTTTTTCCATTAGAATTAAGATTATTTTCTTGTTTTCCATTAGAATTAAGATTATTTTTCTTGTTTTCCATTAGAATTAAGATTATTTTTCTTGTTTTCCATTAGAATTAAGATTATTTTTCTTGTTTTCCATTAGAATTAAGATTATTTTTCTTGTTTCCATTAGAATTAAGATTATTTTTCTTGTTTTCCATTAGAATTAAGATTATTGTTCTTGTTTTTCCATTAGAATTAAGATTTCCATTAGAATTAAGATTATTTTCTTGTTTTCCATTAGAATTAAGATTATGTTTCTAGTTTTCCATTAGAATTAAGATTATTTTTCATGTTTCCATTAGAATTAAGATTATTTTTCTTGTTTTCCATTAGAATTAAGATTATTTTTCTTGTTTTTCCATTAGAATTAAGATTTCCATTAGAATTAAGATTATTTTCTTGTTTTCGATTAGAATTAAGATTATGTTTCTAGTTTTCCATTAGAATTAAGATTATTTTTCTTGTTTTCCATTCCATTTATTTTCAGACATAACCACTTGCTTTTATTTGGTTTTGGATTTGAATATATATTTAGACATTATCAAAAACCGCATCGATTTGTAGATTATACCCCTAAAATTGCTCTGCCTTTCTCATTTATTTCCAATGCCGATCCACTTAGCGTTTTCGAATCAAGTCCACAGTTTTTTCTGGGTTCATATAACTAGTCCCACGAAAGTTTCATACCATTCTGCTAAAGTAGAAACAGAGAAGTTGAAATAAAGCAGAAGTAAAACATGACATATTAAAGCTCAGTTGACTGTGAAACTCCTCCAGCGAGTGTGTTCATAATCTCCGACACACGATCTGTGTGTGGAGCTAGTGACCCGCTGATGCAGGAATGCCCAAACTAACCGGTTTAATAGCTAACCCGATCAAGCTCCCGCGGCGGTCAGGAGACACATGTGCTCCTGATAAACACATCAAACACAGCCCTCATGTCAAACACACACTTACACTCAAGAGCAACGTCTGCTCCCAGATTCTTCTGTGTGTTATTATGTCAGTTATGTTAGCAGGAGCCAAAACACACAAAAATCACATTTCTACATGTCTAGAAACTTTATTTATTCCATAAAAATCATATTTGTTAATGTACTGCTCCTGTTATATAATTTGTTATATATTTACCGTCACCTGCTAAATGTCAAATATATTACATATATAAAAAAATGTCTCAAGTACATTTAATATATGAAATATGTGTCAAATATATTATGTATGAAATATGTATATATAAATATGTATATAAATATATATATATTTATGTTAAATGTTAAACATATATATTATATATGAAATATATGTTATGTATCAAGTACATGTCAAAAATATTATATGTGTGTCAGATGTGTTATGTACCAAATACTGTATATTAGATATGTTATATATTAAATGTCAAATATTTTATATACATATATTCGGAGCGCTGGACGGGTCTGGTTGATGAAGGGATGTAAACGAGTGTGTGTGTGTTGCAGGCGCAGCGCTGGACGGCTCTGGACGGGCTTCAGTGGAACTGCAGTGGCTCAGTGGAGGTCCAGGCCGTGTCGTTCTGGGGTCAGCGCCGACTGAAGAGTGCCAAAGCCTCCGTTCACATCGACACACAACAACACACTCAGTCAAGTATGACATCATCATCATCATCATCAGTGCACGATCACATGAGGGAATATGATTATTACCATAGTCCGTCTGAATACGCCTCTCTGATTGGCTGGAAGGTGTGTAGTAAAACCGTCAGCAAAGTCAGTTTAATAATATATGAAGAGTTCAGATGCAAAAGCCTCTAAATGCCATTTGAAATTTTGTTCTAGAATGACCATTTTTATCAAGCTTGTGTATTTAAGTTCAGTAATTTCACTTAAATGACAATTAATAGGTAATCTTCATTGCCATTTAAGTGAAATTACTGAACTTAAATATACAAGCTTGATAAAAATGATAATTTTGGAAGAAAATTTCAAATGGCACTTAGAGGCTTTTGCATCTGAACTCTTCATATGTAATCTCTATAATGTCTCCATGTCGTGCATTACAGTCGTTTAATTGCGTATTATGCCTTGCATATGTACATATTTTTAATATTAGCATTATCGGCCTGATTAGAGAATTTGCCTGATATATTAAAACCGATAAACATTGTATTATTCCCTTCAGATGCGCACTGTTTGACATGATTGATTTGAATATGATTGGAATGACTTTGAAAAGGCAAGGCAAGTTTATTTATATAGCACATTTCATACACAATGGTAATTCAAAGTGCTTTACATGGAAGAAATTAAAATAATCAAAATAAATCAGAATAATTAAAACAGTTTAGAATAAAAAAAAATCATAATAATAAAAATAAAATACAGAAAAGGAAAACAGATGCAGCGCAAGTCTGTCATATCAGCTACATAACATTATAATAATAATAATTGTGTGTTTGGGACGTGGATTTTAATGACGAGGCTTGTTTGTTTTTGTAATCAGACTCAAAAATTATTTAAAAAAAATTGGATTTAGATTATTGGCCAATATATTGGTTATCGGCTTTCAAATATGAAGAATTATCGGTTATCAGTAATATAAATTACCCCTATAAATATTTAATTTTAAAGATTTTAATTAGTAATTTTTTAATAATTGTATTTTTATTTGTTTTATAAGTGTAGTTATTTGATGGACCATGATGGAAGAACACTTTATTTCCCATATATAATGCTCAAAAATCCTTAATTTTGTCAATTATGTAATATATATTTATATAAATCTTTAAAAAAAAATATAAAATTAATATATGATAATAACAATATGGTGATAGTTTAGTTTAGGGTCCAATTCAGCGGTTTCATTAGTAGGCTCCGACTGTTTTCATCTTCTTGAGTAATGCAATTTCTCCAATGTTGATTTAGAGGCAGTTTCTAAAGCGAGGAAAGTGCCGGTGAAGAAATCCTCGAGCGCTCTGGGGGTCGGCACACCGTATTACAAGAACGGAGAACTACAGGTGCGCATCTACTGGAAGAAGAGAACAGGTAACACACACACACACAACATCTATATTATTTTATTTCACGCACGTGAATTGTTTTTTTTTTTTGTGTATGTAAATTTAGTTTCATGCATGTGAAATTGGCTACACATGTGTGAATCATATTTTTTGCATGAATGATTAATGCGAGCGGAGATGCGTTACTGAAGGATGACGAGTGTGTCAGTCTGAGCGAGGCGTCGGTGTGTTTCCGTCTTTATTCTGTCGGCCTCAAAGCATCAGGTCAACCTGAACTAATCTCACTTCTGCTTTTACACTTCTAGAGAACAGCTCAGCACAACTTGGGGGAGGCGCAAATATACATGTTCGAGTTCGCTGGTGGCTTTTCTAATGACTAGCTGATAAAACAGCATGACAAAATATATTAAAATAACTAAATAAATGCAGAATATTTTTTTTTTGGTCTAATTTGGAAATATTTCTATTTGAAAGAGTAGAAATTTTTAAATAATTTATTAATTTATTTATTAATTCCCCCCCCCCCCCCCCCAATTTTTTTCAAATTTTGTTTAATTTAGAAAATGTATTTGTTGATAAAACAGCAAGATGCAATATTTATCAAGAAAAAATATTTTTTTAACATTTAATAGTAAAATTGTTTATTTAGTTATTTACGTTTTAAATTGTCTAATTTAGAAAAAAAAATATTAACCTTTTTATTGCACAAATAATTTAATTATTATTATTATCTATCATATAATTTAGTATTTTTTATAAAACAGCAGGATGCAGGAGGAAAAATAAATATCTTAAACTTTTTAAAGCAAAGAAATGCAACATTTAGAAATAATTTAATTATTAATTTATTTATTAATAGAAATCTAGTCAAATTTAGAAAAAAAAATACTAAAACAGCAAGAAAAAACATCTTGAACTTTTTATAGTACAAACTAGAAAATTTAGAATATTTTAATTTATTATAACTCAATTTATTTTAGTCAACTTTAGAAAAATGACTAGTAGATAAAAAGCAAGAAAAATATTAACCTTTTTATTGCACAGACTACAACATTTTAAATAATTGAATTATTAATATTATATAATTATTAAATAATTAATTATTATTATCTATCATATAATTTAGTATTTTTTAAAATACTAAAATACGTTTAGGAAAAATAAATATCTTAAACTTTTTATAGCAAAAAACTGCAACATTTAGAATAATTTAATTATTAATTTATTTATTAATAGAAATCTAGTCAAATTTAGAAAAAAATACTAAAACAGCAAGAAAAAACATCTTGAACTTTTTATAGTACAAACTAGAAAATTTAGAATATTTTAATTTATTATAACTCAATTTATATTAGTCAACTTTAGAAAAAATGACTAGTTGATAAAATAGCGAGATACAGAATGAAAAATCTTTATACGTAGCAAAAAAACTACAAAATCTAGATTAATATAATAATTATTTTACTATTAATTAAAATGATTCTTTTTTAGTCACATTTAGAAAAATCACTGATTGATAAAACTGAGATGCAAAACGAAAAAAAAAGTCTTCCTTTATAGATAAAGTAATAATAATTGAATGACAAGTTGGACAATGAGATGCACAGAACTTTGTATAGTATTTCCCTTTTTTTTAACCGCACAGGATTGTGGGATACCATCCGAGGCGGGTAGACGTGCTCTCTCTGCTTCCAGAAATGCCGTCGGCTCCTTCAAAGGCTCCTTTAATCTCCTCGCCAGCGTAACTCAATTATTAATCTGAAATGTATCATTTCACGTCCAAACGGCACGTTGATGGATAATAAACTGGAGGCGCTGCGTAAACACTGTTGATTAGCGCAGTTCTGAGGAAACTAATCAACTGATGATGATGATGAACGCCTCATATTAACTTACAGGAGCACTTCTGCCAAATAATAACGTCTGTTGTTGTTCATGCGACTCGTTTGCATGTTTTTAATGCTGTTGACTGGCGCTGATTTCTAAACGCTGTCGTTGGATTAGTCTCGTGACTCGTTCGTTTCGCGATATACTTGATATGCATTTTTTTCATATCAAATATTATATAAATATTATATTATATTAATATTATATAATTTATATATCATATAAATATTTCATGTATTTATAAAGCACATTTCAAATCAAAGTGCTGTACAGGAATAAAAAAAGTGAAATAAAAGTTAGATTAGAAGCACAAGATATTAAAGGTGTGTGTTCTGACGGCCAGAGTGTGTATGCTGTTTTCTATTCTGTGTGTGTGTGTGAGATCTCTAACCCGTGTTGATGTTCTGTCTCCAGATGTGTCGGGGAACCGTTATCATGTTCAGTGGAAGCATGAATACTGCAACCACAACCAGAGCCGAGCGGCGGAGAAATCAGTCACTCAGGTGTGTGTGTGTGTGTGTGTGTGTGATCTCCATCGTTCCTGCACCACACACTAAACCTCCATTGTGTTCGTGTGCATTTATGATCCATAACAGCATCAGCCAAGAGTGTTCTGAACAAGCCTCTTGCCCTTCATAAACGCAGCCTCTTACGGGACCCAAGACTCATTCCTCTTCATTATTGGAAGCAAATTAGTGTGTGTTGTTTCAGATGATGTGGTCAAAATGTGGTCCAGTGCCTAATAAAACACATGTATTAAAATGACATTTCCAGGAAGTAGGATTGAATTCATCACCCTACCCCCCCCCCGGTCCCCACCGGAGCCGTAACCTGCGTCCCGACCGAAGCCTGTTTCAGCTCCACTCCTGCAGATCACGCATTCGGGACTGAAATCTGGCCTTTAAGAGCGACACACTGCTTTCGTGATCGAAAAACTACAGTTAGACCTTTTACAAAGAAAATGTGATTGTTGTTTGGCCATGCAAATGTGGCTCGAGTGTTACGCTTGCTAGGAGAAAATGTGGCACTACAAAGCTAAATTTGTTGTGGGTGGTTGCCAGGATGTTGCTATGGGGTTGCTAAGGCGTTGCTAGGTGGTCTTCTAGGTGGTCACCGGGACTGTCCTATGGGCTTGCGACGCTGTTCTAGTTGGTTGTTAGGGTGTTGCTATGCAGTTTCTAAGGGGTTCTGAGTGGTTCCCAGGACATTGCTATGGGGTTGCTAAGGCGTTGCTAGGTGGTGTTCTAGGTGGTCACCAGGACTGTCCTATGGGGTTGCGAAGGTGTTCTAGTTGGTTGCTAGGGTGTTGCTATGCAGTTTCTAAGGGGTTCTGAGTGGTTCCCAGGACATTGCTATGGGGTTGTTAAGGCGTTGCTATGCAATTGGGTTCTAAGGTCTGCAGGCTGGTCACCAGGACTGTCCCATGGGGTTGCGAAGGTGTTCTAGTTGGTTGCTAGGGTGTTGCTATGCAGTTTCTAAGGGGTTCTGAGTGGTTCCCAGGACATTGCTATGGGGTTGTTAAGGCGTTGCTATGCAATAAGGTTCTAAGGTCTGCAGGCTGGTCACCAGGACTGTCCCATGGGTTTGCGAAGGTGTTCTAGTTGGTTGCTAGGGTGTTGGTATGCAGTTTCTAAGATGTTTGGGGTGGTTGCCAAGACGTTGCTCTGGAGTTGTTTAGGTGTTGTAGCTGGCTGCTAGGGGTTGCTATGCAGTTAAGTCCTAAGGTGTTCTAGGGGGTTGCTAGGGTGTTGCTATGCAGTTTCTAAGATGTTCGGGGTGGTTGCCAAGACGTTGCTCTGGAGTTGCTAAGGTGTTGTAGCTGGCTGCTAGGGGTTGCTATGCAGTTAAGTTCTAAGGTGTTCAAGGGGGTTGCTATGCAGTTTCTAAGATGTTCGGGGTGGTTGCCAAGACGTTGCTCTGGAGTTGCTAAGGTGTTGTAGCTGGCTGCTAGGGGTTGCAATTCAGTTAAGTCCTAAGGTGTTCTAGGGGGTTGCTAGGGTGTTGCTATGCAGTTTCTAAGATGTTCGGGGTGGTTGCCAAGACGTTGCTTTGGAGTTGTTTAGGTGTTGTAGCTGGCTGCTAGGGGTTGCTATGCAGTTAAGTCCTAAGGTGTTCTAGGGGGTTGCTAGGGTGTTGCTATGCAGTTTCTAAGATGTTCGGGGTGGTTGCCAAGACGTTGCTCTGGAGTTGTTTAGGTGTTGTAGCTGGCTGCTAGGGGTTGCTATGCAGTTAAGTCCTAAGGTGTTCTAGGGGGTTGCTAGGGTGTTGCTATGCAGTTTCTAAGATGTTCAGGGTGGTTGCCATGACATTGCTCTGGAGTTGCTAAGGTGTTGTAGCTGGCTGCTAGGGGTTGCTATGCAGTTAGGTTCTAAGCTGTTCTAGAGTGTTGCTAGGGTGTTGCTATGCAGTTTCTAAGATGTTCGGGGTGGTTGCCAAGATGTTGGTTTGGAGTTGCTAAGGTGTTGTACAGTAGCTGGCTGCTATGGGTTGCTATGCAGTTAGGTTCTAAGGTGTTCTAGAGTGTTGCTAGGGTGTTGCTATGCAGTTTCTAAGATTTTTGGGGTGGTTGCCAAGACGTTGGTTTGGAGTTGCTAAGGTGTTGTACAGTAGCTGACTGCTATGGGTTGCTATGCAGTTAGGTTCTAAGGTGTTCTAGAGTGTTGCTAGGGTGTTGCTATGCAGTTTCTAAGATTTTTGGGGTGGTTGCCAAGACGTTGGTTTGGAGTTGCTAAGGTGTTGTACAGTAGCTGGCTGCTATGGGTTGCTATGCAGTTAGGTTCTAAGGTGTTCTAGAGTGTTGCTAGGGTGTTGCTATGCAGTTCGGGGTGATTTATCTAAGGATGTATTGTGGCTCAAACTGTAGAGCGTGGCATTATAACCCCAGGCAGAGAATGCATTGTAAACCTCAAAGGCAATGTAATGTGTTTAATTTGTAGGCATTAGTATGGCCTGTTTTTTTAGAGTGGTTGCCAAGTCACTCCAACAATTCAGTTCAAATTCGATTGACGTTTATTTGTATAACGCTTTTCACAATACACATTATTTCAAAGCAGTTTTACAGAAAGTGCATGAGTCCACATTACAGTTTACAGTGATCTGTTATCAGAGGAGTTATGCATTTTATGAATGTACATATACAAAATCACAGTTAGCGAAAAAGGTACTAATTTAAACAATGTAATAATTTAATGCACAAACAATGAGCTCATTGCTTGTTTGTTAACACATGATTATGACATTTAGAAAAATGATGCATTGATGCATGCTGATTCCATCAACACCGCAGAGACTTCTGCATGAACACACTCCGGTTCTCTCCATCCTCTCTTTAATAAACGTGCTTCTCTGTTGCAGGAGAACTACATTAATCTCCCCAACCTGCTGTTCTCCTGCATGTACACGGTCACGGTTCACACACTCGGTGCGAGACAGCGCTCCTCGGACGAGAGCATAGGCTTCCTCACGCCGTCCTGTGAGATCATCCGGAGCAAGAGCCCGAAGCCCATCGCCTGTCCCGGGGACCAGGGCCGCCTCCACAGGACCGGTGCGGCTTTATATACATTACGCTTGAAATATGACATTGAGTGATTACAGTGGGTTTGTTTGGGAGCAACAGTTGCAGACGTGGTGCTTGTTTTTAAAACTTCATTTTGGTCTTTAGCATGCCGTTGTTCTGGTGCATCTTTTGATATTTTCAGGTTTTTTATTTTACTCTAGTTTCTTTTAATGTTGTAAAAAATACTTTTTAATAAATATTAATATACTGAATTCGTTTTTTATTTTTGTATTTTCAGTTTTTATTTTATTTTTACTTGTTTATAATAGTTATTTTTAATTAATTTTTTTTAGTAAAAGTTAGTAACTTTTTTAAATAGTTTATTTTATCTAACTTTTTTGTACTTGACGTACTAAGTTGTGCTATTTTTCTATTATTGATAATAGTAAGTAAATTTAGATATACTGATAGATAGATATATAATAATTTTGTATATAATAATATATTGTTTAAATATATTTTATTCCATTTAACATACATTTTGAATTATTTAATTTTTATTTTATCACTGATATACTTTTATAGTTTTCATTAATGTTTTTTAATTAATTTTTTACAATTTTTTTAGTTATTTTATTTTATTTTAGTTATTATTTTTGAAATATTTCATTTTGGTTAACTTTAATTTTTTTCAATTTTTTTAACTTTTATTGATATACTGTTCAAGCTTTTATTAATATTTTTATATTTTCAGTTTTCATATTTTAGTTGAAGTTTATAATTTTATTGATTTTTTTTATATTTTATTCCATTTAACATGTACTTATTTATTTATTTATTTAATTGTTGATATGTTATTATAGTTTGTATTTTTTTTTTTGTAGCTATGGTTTGATTTTTATTTTAGTCAAAGTTTTTCCTTGCCATTTTTTTCTCTAATAATTTTTTAACTATTTATAAATTTTTATTTCAGTTTTAGTTATTTTACTTCAAATTGCACTAAACAAAATGAGAAATGTGTTAGTTTTAGTTAACAACAATAACCCTGGCCAAGTGCCTAAAACAAAACAGTGACTAGTTTTTCCTTTATTCATAATTTTGCATCCTCAGACATTTTTACATGTTGTGTGTGTTTTCTCGTCACACATGCTCAGCCTGAACCCTCTTCTGTCATCATGATATATTCCATGTAATTTCACGTTTTCCTCGAACCCTCTCCTTAGTGCCGGCGAAGGTTTCGGCTCAGCCTGAGAATCTCACAGCGACCTTCACTCTCCACGACGGGAACGTGACGGGTCACTTCCGCTGGAGGGGGTCGCGACCCCAGTCTCATCAGCCAATCACAGGCTTCCAGGTCACATGGGCTGAGTTTTCCACGGAGAGCCGTCAGAACAGTCTTCCCAACAGCATCATCTCGCAGTCCCAGATCCTGCCACCTGTAAGTCCTCCACACACACCCTTCTCCCACGAGAGCGCACGCACACACATAAATCACATGTTCTTGGCCCATGATTTCATACAAGAGTGTTTCTCATGGAAAATTGGATACATATTCAAGTCCAAGAGTGTGAAATATGATACACACAGCGCTGGCAGGATCTGCTGATGAATCGAGGCTGCTGTTTAATAACCTTTAATAACCGGACCTCATATCATATCTGGAGAACGCTTGAGGAATACACTAAATGTTCACAGCATATTCGTATAATACTTATTTGTATGATAATAGATTTTAGTTGGCAAAGTAAAACTAAAGTAAGTATTAAATGTTAATATTATTTAATAATAATATAATTTAATAAGGGTATTTAATTTTCAAACTTAATATTTTTAAAAGCTGCATATATAAATTGAATATTAAATGTTAATGTTAATATAATTATTTTAATACCAATTAATATAATTTAATTATGAATATATATAATATAGATATATATACTGTATTATTTAATGTTAATATAATTCATAATTAAAATGATTTAATAATTATATTTAATATTTAAATCAAATATTTTTAAAAAGCTGAAAAACATACTCTCTCTCTCTCTCTCTATATATATATAATTATAATATAACTTTAATGTTACATGTAATATAACTACCTAATATATTAAACATTGTATTGAATATTTAAGCTAAATATTTTTAATTTTTAATTTATATTTTTTAAAAGCTGTATGTATGTGTGTGTATTAACTTTTCACTTTAAAAAGCTGAAAAAAATATATGTACATGCATAACAATAATTTGAATATTAAATTCTGATTAGTTAACATATAATATAATTTAAGAGTATTTCATTTTAGTATTCAATATTAAATAAAAGCTGAAAAAATCTATAAATGGATTTCATAAATGTAATTTTAACTGGATCACCCAGGGAAGGTTTATGTTGAAGTAAATCCTGGAGATGTATTAGTGTTATTAATGTTCATATGGTACGCATTAGTATGTTCTCATGGATGGAGTGCTGTTTTGAGCTCTGACATCATCACCAGATCTCCTCCATCATCCACTGAACAAACAGTCCTCTCATAACACATCACTCAGATTATGTTTTTTAATATTCATGTCCTTCTGCTGAAGCTTTAATTGACTCAGTCGTACTGAAATGCATCAAATTGATCCCGTCCGGTTTTCATGCGTGTGATTCCTCAGATCTGACAGAATATTGAAGCCGGTTTGAAGCACGTCATCATTATCAGATTGGATCCATTAATGAACGATGTGGATTCTGTGATGTTTATTGTTCACAGCGAGTAAATCTGAAGAGCTCCCAGTGAGCTCATAATAAACCAGGGGTGCCCAATCCTTCTCCTGGCGATCGACTGTCCTGCACAGTTCATCTCAAACCCTAATCAAACACACCTGAAGTAGTCAATTAAGGTCTTTAGGATCACATTCAGGTGTGTTTGATTAGGGTTGGAGATGAACTGTGCAGGACAGTCGATCGCCAGGAGCAGGATTGGGCACCCCTGTAATAAACACTGAACGCCTCGAGCCACAAACTCTACATGAGCTTCTTTCATGTATTTCCCCAACAGCGCCGTAACTCGTTTCTTCACTTTCATAGTCCGATGCATAGCTAAAGAAATCATCTAGCTAGTCTCAACCGTATTGTCGCGAATTAGACGTTCAACCACGTTGGATAATGATGTCACACACGTATGGAGTAATAATAATACTTTTAAGGAATCTGTTTGAAATCGAATTAACGCTGAATGTTTTGCTATATTATTCAAGGTGCTTAAAGTACATGAATTTGACTGTTTGATATTGAAGTCCTGGAAAACCCTTGAAAACAAACATATTTACGTAGAGGGACTTAAAAGTGCTTGACTTATTTAAATATAGTATGTATAGTAAATATAATTTTTGCGAAAATACAAAAAAGCAATCTTGTCAGGCAAAATGAACACCGCAGCCCGTCTGATAAACCCCCATCAGACCTTTTCTCGTTACAAAGTACGCCAACATTATAATATAAAATATTATTTATTGAACAATAATAGCCATTATAAACTTTGTATTTAATATTTCTCACAAGAAAGCATCGTGTACACACGAGAAACTATCGCGCGCCCGCGGGAGACTATTGCGTGCTCCCAAGAAGAAACTACCCTGCGTTTGTGGGAAACCATCACGTGCTCACGAGAAACTATCGCACGCTCCCAAGAAACGTATCACACACTCATGGGAAACTATCGCACGCTCGCGGAAACTATTACGTGCTCCCGAGAAACTATCGCACGCTCCCAAGAAACGTATCACACACTCATGGGAAACTATCGCACGCTCGCGGAAAGTATCACGCGATCCCGAGAAACTATCGCGTTCTCACAAAAACTATCGCGCACTCCGGAGAAAGTATCGCGCGCTCGCTGGAAACTATCGTGTACTCGAGATAAACTATCACACGCTCACGAGAAACTATCGCACACTCCCAAGAAACGTATCACACACTCATGTGAAACTATCGCACGCTCCAGAGAAACTATCGGGCGCTCGCGGGAAACTATCGTGTACTTGTAATAAACTATCACACGCTCGTGAGAAACTATCACGTGCTCGCGGGAAACTATCGTGTACTCGAGATAAACTATCACTTGCTCTCACGAGAAACTATCGCACGCTCCGAAGAAACGTATCACACACTCATGGGAAACTATCGCACACTCGCGGAAACTATTACGTGCTCCCGAGAAACTATCGCGTTCTCACAAAAACTATCGCGCGCTCGCCGAAAACTATTGTGTACTTGCGATAAACTATCACACGCATTCCCAAGAAACTATCGTGTACTTGCGATAAACTATCACATGCTCCCAAGAAACTATCACGTGCTCGCGGGAAACTTATTGTGTACTCGAGATAAACTATCACACACTCCCAAGAAACGTATCACACACTCATGTGAAACTATCGCACGCTCGCGGAAACTATCACGCGCTCGCGGGAAACTATCGTGTACTCGAGATAAACTATCACACGCTCACGAGAAACTATCACGCGCTCTCACGAGAAACTATCGCACGCTCCCAAGAAACTATTGCGCGCTCGCGGGAAACTATCGTGTACTTGTAATAAACTATCACACGCTCGCGAGAAACTATCGTGTACTCGAGATAAACTATCACACGCTCACGAGAAACTATCACGCGCTCTCACGAGAAACTATCGCACGCTCCCAAGAAACTATTGCGCGCTCGCGAGAAACTATCGTGTACTTGTAATAAACTATCACACGCTCCCAAGAAACTATCGCGCGCTCGCGGGAAACTATCGTGTACTTGTAATAAACTATCGCGCGCTTGCGAGAAACTATTGCGCGCTCGCGGGAAACTATCGTGTACTTGTAATAAACTATCACACGCTCGCGAGAAACTATCGTGTACTTGTGATAAACTATCGCGCGCTCCCAAGAAACTATCGCGCGCTCGCGGGAAACTATCGTGTACTTGTAATAAACTATCGCACGCTCCCAAGAAACTATTGCGCGCTCGCGGGAAACTATCGTGTACTTGTAATAAACTATCACACGCTCGCGAGAAACTATCGTGTACTTGTGATAAACTATCGCGCGCTCCCAAGAAACTATCGCGCGCTCGCGGGAAACTATCGTGTACTTGTAATAAACTATCGCGCGCTCCCAAAAAACTATTGTGCGCTCGCGGGAAACTATCGTGTACTTGTAATAAACTATCACACGCTCGCGAGAAACTATCGTGTACTTGTAATAAACTATCGCGCGCTCCCAAGAAACTATCGCGCGCTCGCGGGAAACTATCGTGTACTTGTAATAAACTATCGCGCGCTCGCGAGAAACTATTGCGCGCTCGCGGGAAACTATCGTGTACTTGTAATAAACTATCACACGCTCGCGAGAAACTATCGTGTACTTGTGATAAACTATCGCGCGCTCCCAAGAAACTATCACACGCTCGCGAGAAACTATCGTGTACTTGTAATAAACTATCACACGCTTGCGGGAAACTATCGTGTACTTGTAATAAACTATCACACGCTCGCGGAAAACTATCGTGTACTTGTAATAAACTATCACACGCTCGCGAGAAACTATCGTGTACTTGTGATAAACTATCGCCGCTCCCAAGAAACTATCGCGCGCTCGCGGGAAACTATCGTGTACTTGTAATAAACTATCGCGCGCTCCAAAAAACTATTGTGCGCTCGCGGGAAACTATCGTGTACTTGTAATAAACTATCACACGCTCGCGAGAAACTATCGTGTACTTGTAATAAACTATCGCGCGCTCCCAAGAAACTATCACACGCTCGCGGAATTTATCGTGTACTTGTAATAAACTATCGCGCGCTCGCGAGAAACTATCGCGTGCTCGCGGGAAACTATCGTGTACTCGAGATAAACTATCACGTGCTCTCACGAGAAACTATCGCACGCTCCCAAGAAACTATCGCGCGCTCGCGGGAAACTATCGTGTACTTGTAATAAACTATCGCGCGCTCCCGAGAAACTATTGCGCGCTCGCGGGAAACTATCGTGTACTTGTAATAAACTATTGTGCACTCCCGAGAAACTATCGCGCGCTCGCGAGACACTATCATGTACTCGAGATAAACTATCACAGGTTCACGAGAAACTATCACACACTCCCAAGAAACAATCGTGTACTTGCGATAAACTATCACACGCTCCCAAGAAACTATCACGTGCTCGCGGGAAACTATCGTGTACTCGAGATAAACTATCACACACTCACGAGAAACTATCACGCGCTCTCACGAGAAACAATCGCATGCGCACAAATTAGTTTTCTAATTTCTCGCAATAGTTTCTCGTGAGCACGAGAAAGTCTGTATATTTGTATTTTTGCTAAAGGTCCCTTTAGGGGATCCTTAGTGCGGAGATTGCAGTACTACCAAACCAAAAACAAAAAAAAAATAGTGCTTGAAAAGTCAATAAATGTCCTGGAATTAATTTTCACATTATTTGTACGAACCTGGGTTTATACTGTAAATAAAGTTTGATTGATTGACTCTTTGACGTGTAGTCGTTCTGTAGAAGAAGGATCTGATGTGTTTGAGTTGCTGACTCTGAACACTGTTGTATATTGTGATGTTTTTCAGAATCAGAACCTCCTGGTGGTGTCTAACCTGCGGCCGGGTACGTTCTACCGGGTAGATGTGCATGTGATCACCGCGACTGGAGAAGGACCCGCGACGAAGAGAGTGTTTCTGACGCCCAGCCGACCGCCGATTCAGCAAAGTAAGAAAACGCACTTCTGGAAGTTAAAAAGGACCTGCTATTAGAGATGCACCGATTGACCGGCGCATTTAGGATGCAGAGATGTTTTCATGTGTAACCAAGATGTGTGTTTGTTCTTGACAGAAGCACAACTTCATCAGCATCACCATCAGAAGTCTTCAGTGGAGAAACACTGAACCGGTCAGAACACGAAACACAACAAGCAGCGAATCGCAGTTTCCTTCAGACGCTCTGAGCCTTCGTTCTTCAACAACACCCCAAACTCTTGTGCTGTCGCCCCGGTCCATGTGTGCGCTTACATTCAGAAACCATTTCAGCAAGTTAAGAGCGATGTTGTGTTCCTGCAGATTTGGTCAGAGTCTATGAAATCAAATTAAATTGAAATGGATGGAAGAATGGGGTGTGTAATCTAAGAGAGTTCATGATTATCTGAGATCAGATCTGATGATGCATGGCTAACATATTCAGTCAGTATTTCCCAAACCCGTATCTTTATTCAGCTCTTTTCCATTTCCAAGCATCACTGATCGTTTGTGTGATTAAATAATGACTGGATTTTAGGTTGAACTGTTCCTTTAATAGGGTGTGAAATCCATCTTTGATGCCTTTTATTATTACGTTAGCAATTCTCCATTACAGATTAACAGAGAGTGTTTTGTTTATTAATAAAATGATTACTTATGCGTGTTTTTTTGATGGAATGATGTAAACTATATATGTTCTCGACTGTAGAGATATTTGTTGCGGCAGTCAGTGAATGTTGATGTTGATATTTATTTATGTGTGTATTGCAACACTTCATTTGTATGCGTGTATGTGTGTATTTTCCCCCATGTATTAGCAAGTCAGTGTTTTATAAAATACAACTTTGTGTAAAGACATAAAAAAAAAAGAATTGTACATATAGTGATATGTTCCATTATTTCCATAGAACCTGTACATACTTTTAAGTAATAAAATAGTTCCTCTACTAATTCAGATCATCTGTAGTCCTGTGTAAAACATTTGATGTCAGTGACGTACCTCAGATCTGTGGGAAATAAATAAATGCATCACTGACTGAAATAAATACATAAATCAAACAGAAATACACTACTTGACTTCCTTTAACTACTTCAACCATAAATATGTACAATTAAAATAATTAATTTTAAAAATAAAAAACAAAATAAACTGTTGTTGCATGCTATGTGACCATTAACGGACATGACGTCAGGGGCACTTTTATTTCTAAATATCATATTTTACGTCAGAGTTTGAGAATCGCTGGTGAACTATTGAAGTTTTTGCCAGTTATTTATTATTATTTCAAGCGTTTCGTTAGACGCAAGTTTTTTGTTAGTCGTAATTACGGTAATTTTCTGACGTAAACGTGTACGTTAGCTACGGTGTGCGTGTTCGGCGCTGGCGATTTTAAAGTAAGAAACTCTTGAAACTCTCTTCACTCACACCTTGATAGCAATAATAGAAGTGATTTAAATACTTAAACATGTATATATCTTGTTTGGAAGTCTCAGGACCAAAAAATGTCAATAGTATTGGTCCAAAATGCAACGATATTCTACGTAAATACACGATGCAACCCGCGACTTTACCTTCACGTCCTCACTCGGATTTACGTTTCTCTGTCAACACTAACGGATGAATCTGCAGCAGAAGTCAGGTACTAGATCTCTCTGTTAGTTGTTTACCATCGTAAAGTTGTGTGCTTTTAGACATGAGGTAATTTAACCTACATGTGCTCTAAAAATATTCACTGTTTGTAAAGGAAATTAGAGGAGTAGGCAAGCTTTCGGACACATTACTTCATCTTTACTGGACCCCATGCCATTTAACCACTGTTAAAATTCTCCACATTCAATTTTATTTAATTTCCTACTGTTTCTGAGAGAAATGTAAAGCACGTCTGGGTATTTCATGAACTCCGCATGTGTTTGCAATTTGGAATGATGCATTTAAAGGTTAATCACCAAACGTATCTTTAAAAAAAGATATATAATGTGGACAACACTGAAAAAAAACCCATATATTTTCGCCAGATTAGTTATTTATGAATCACTCAAACACCTTTATCTAACCTTTCTACTTATCTGTTGGATCGAGATGGTTGGATCTGCACTTCGGTTTTTAACCGGAAGTAGACCGTCCAGGCATTTTTGTAATCCTCATCTCAACATACTATGATTTGGCACACGCTAGATCTAATTTAGGACGGATAGGTGAATTGTCCATTGTTTTTCCTTTTTATAAATGTCAGAAGCTCTCTCTTTTTTATTTTATTTTATTTTTTACACCAAACGGCCATTTTGCGTCCAGTCATCATCCAGTGCCCTTCTGTCCGTCAGTGATGTTGTTTCATGAAACAACACATAACATGAATAACATGAATGTGTTTATTAATTCCTGATGTCCATGTGAGTTAATCCACTGTAGTCCATCAGATCAAATCAAGTCTCCTCATTTATATAGTGCTTAACCATTATGTTTTACAGTGATAACAGGGGATTACAGTAACAGAGAGTGTTTAGGCTTTACAGCAGATCTAGAATAAAGTAATTGTCCAAATAAAGTTAGTTTTGATTGATTCACTTCTTTTGCAAAGATCATTAGTTAACGTTACTAACATAGGGGCCACTAACCCGACACAGCTTTACTGAAAACCCTTAACGCGCTCCGGCTCATTCACACAACAACAGTGTTTATGGTTTGAGAACGCAAGCCAAGCGTTGAAAAACGTTATCTCCGCGTAAACTTAAAAAACGCAAACATGTGGAAACGCTGGGTATCACGTGTTTAGTCTATAGGTATGCGCGTGTAAATATATATGTAGTCTTTCTTTACTAATTTAGCTCATCAAATTACTTTTCTGGCCTTAAAATAAATCATAATACAGATTTTTTTTTTCTCTCCGGGTCAAAAACAGAACCTTTTATTCATTCCTGCTTTCAAGCTAATGCTTTTCTTATGCCTTCAAACCTTCTTAACAAGAACGACGACAGTGGCAATCAATAGTCATTCTTCTACATAACCTCTGACAAGATGCAGAGAGAGAAATCCTGATAATAATTGTTTCCGTTGCGTATGATCAGTGATTTCCATGCGCAGGATTTTCCTCATTACTCGTCGCATGAGTGTTTCAGATTCCTCCAGGTCCTGACAGCATCTCACGTGTCTCGTCCTCTCCTCTGAACTCGTTCTGGAGATTAACGCCGCCTCTCACGAGACCTTCGCTGCACGCTTGTGATTTACATTCTTTGCTGCGCTGCTTAAAGAAAGACCCCCTGAAATCGAAATGGATGTTTTTGAGCTTTTAGGATGACTAAGTGAATATGTTGCTACGAATAAGCCAACAAAATGAGCAAATGTGCATTTAGGAGATATAAGCATTCAAAACTCACAGTCTCTCACAGATCACGCATTTTTTTTATGACATCACCGTGTCTCATCACATCTTTTGGCCAATCACATGCTTTTTAGAATCTAAAGCTCCGCCCCCTATACTATAAACACCACCTGGCCGAAGCGACCAATGACACGTTACGCAGAAATACGCGTTGGAGTGTGTGTTCGGTTGCTCAAACGCTCCAGTTTTATTCTGTTTTCCAATTTTTTAGTTTAAAGGGTTAGTTCACCCAAAAATGAAAATTCTGTCAGTATTTACTCACCCTCATGTTGTTCCAACCCCGTAAGACCTTCGTTCATCTTCGGGACACAAATTAAGATATTTAAGAGATTAAGATCGCTCCTGCATACTAGTCCATAGGCTTCTTGAGGGAATGACTCTTGCTGGCCTCGAAAACTCATTAAAGACATCGTTAAAATAGTCCAAGTGACTACAGGGGCTCAATCTTAACTTTATCAAACGACGAGAACACTTTTGTGCGCAAAAAAACAACAAAAATAACGGCTTTATTTCAACTATTCGTTTATTTCTCCCTCTGCGCGAGTCAGGTTACTAGTTTAATAGCGTAAGCTTCTGTTATTGTACGTCACACGCATCACACACACATGACCAGCGTCGGCCAATAGTGAGCCTACGTGTGACGTAGCTTTACGCAATCACACTACGTTAACTGACTACAGGCCCATGGAGAAGGAAGTGAACAGTTGAAATAAAGTCGTTATTTTTGTTGTTTTTGCGCACAAAAGTGTTCTCGTCGTTTGATAAAGTTAAGATTGAGCCCCTGTAGTCACTTGGACTATTTTAACGATGTCTTTAATGACTTTTCGAGGCCAGCAAGAGTCATTCCCTCAAGAAGCCTATGGAGCGATCTTAATATCGTAAATATCTTAATTTGTGTTGCGAAGACGAACGAAGGTCTTACGGGGTTGAACAACGTGAGGATGAGTAAATACTGACAGAATTTTCATTTTTGGGTGAACTAACCCTTTAACGTCCCATTTGAAACAATTTGAAACATTTTAATCTCTATATTGGCACTTCTTCGAAATGGGACGGTAAATGAACGAACCACATGTCGATGTTCCTACACTCTTATATTTAAAGGATCTTTATTGGCTTGAAGAACCTTTATCTTCCGGGGAAACGATTGTTTAGATTATTAATGTTCTTCACACACTCATTACGGTTCTTTTACTGAAAGGTTCTTCACTTCACATCTGGGAAATCCCAGTTTTTGGACCTTTATTTTCAGGAGTGTGTTGGCGAGTCCTCCTCTTTCCCGTCCCTCGCTCATTAGATGTCCCGGGCCGAGTGCTCAGGGCCCTGGGGTGTTTCTGCTTAAACTCTGCAAACATGAAAGACTGTTTCGTCTACATGTAATGAAGAACAGAGAACAGACCATGCGGACGGAGACAATGAAGGAAAGATAACCCTGGGGAAAATAGGCTCAAAAATGAACTAATACTGCAGAAATCAAATTTCCATGGTGGTTGATTATATTAGGCAATTGCAAATATTAGGCAATTAAATTTTGGTGTTGTTCATTTTTTTTAGTTTGAAAATGTTTTGTTGAATTTTTAAAAATCGCTACTTTATCGAAATGGTACGAAACTCTGTGACTTTTGTGGCAGACACTATGTGACCAAATTGTAACAAATTGTAAAAGCGAAATGGTCGTTAAAAAATAGTCACAATTTTGTTGTTCGAGGTCAGAAATGAGCGCCATATGAAATTAATGGGAAATACGAAGAAAATAAAAAAAGAGGGCAATTTTTGGGGAATACAATCTAGAAACAAAGCGCATAGAAGTGAAGGGGCGACACTAAAATAGACACATTGACAATAAGGAGTCTTTGAGAATGTCTTAATACACATCCAAACCCACAACCTAATAAAAGTAATTTATGATGTCTAAAAACAACGTTACAGGTGTATTTATTTATTTATTTATTTATTTATCTTCCTTCAAAAATTGGATTTTTAAGGCATGGTCTCTTTTGTGAAAAATGTGAAAAATAATAATTTTCAATGGGGAAAAAATATCATAATCATCGCATAATTGGTGACATATTTCTGTCAAAATACATAATAAAGAAATAGAAAATTACTGAAAAAAATATAACATTGATTTTTACTAGGGCTGTGCAAAAATGAATTGCGATTAATCGCATCCAAAATAAAAGTCTGTGTTTACATAATATATTTGTGTGTGCTGTATATAATTATTTTGGATATATAAATACACACACATGCACGTATATATTTAAGAAAATGTGTTATTCATGTATTAAATATTTATATAATTTAGATTATGTATTTATATATATTTACAGAATTTAAGTGTGAATAATTATTAAATATATACATGCATGCATAGGTATTTATATATACAAAATAATTATATACAGCACACACAAATATATTATGTAAACACAGACTTTTATTGTGTATGCGATTAATCGCAATTAATTTTTGCACAGCCCTAATTTTTACATATTTTTTTGCATTTTACCAATGTAAAAAAGTGTTTGGTCACTTTTGACTGCGAACAACGAGTGTGAATCCCATAATGAGCAAATCCCAGAAGGGTTAACTATGCAAATAATGAGGAATAATGTAATTCGCATCTATTTCCAGAAGTCAAATATGAATGTTGGATAAAGCCAGGGTCAGATCCCACTGCTTTTAAATGTACATC